TGTATACATCTTGAATTTTTTTCGGTCACAGTGTGCTTTTGTTATACATTTCTCGTTGGAATTCCAAACTTGACTTTTTGACAAAGTGAGCAAAAGCAACAGTCCGAGATGCATTGCTAACCTAAATCAATGAACTAAACTTAGGTATATTTTTATATTTACTTTCATTTGGTGGCACTGTTTGCCTCTTATCAGTGTCTAATTTGAGTTGGAATTTGCAGGTATCAGTGGATTGCGCAATAGTGATAAGTCCCAGAAAACAGTCTCTTACTTACAAGCAATGTGGATTTGATGGATTGAGTGTTTAAGGCACCACCCGGCCACCCCACCCCACCTTCAGTGAGGGAAAAAACATCCTTTTTTTTTTCTTTTTTTCTCTCTACAAGCAAGGAGAGAGAGATAGGAGGTGAGGAGGGTGTCACCGAGAAAACAAAAACAGAAGGGTTAGAAGGGTAGAAGGCAGGGCAAACCATTATCTTCCACATGGTTGGATTGGATCTAGTTCAAGCTTCGAAGGCACGAGGCAAAGAGCTAGAACTAAGAAGAGGAAGGGGAAGGGTAAATATCTTACACTTCTAAATGGGAGGCCAAAAGGTTTTCCAGCCCATGATTTTACTGATTTTTGTATTCTTTTATGGAATGAGAAATTAAACTGCTTACTGCATGTGAAATTCCAAAACAAATGTAGTGCTCTACCTCTACCACTAATTGCAGCTGCCTCATTTTCCCAATCTCTTCCTTCTGTGGTATGTTGAAAGCTCATGCAGTGGATATTCTCTCACTGGTGTCAGGACTCTCTATGCGTAGATGAGGCACAGCGCCCTCCCATCACCATCAATTCCTGTGAAAAAGCTAACACAGAATATCCTCTGAATTTTGCCAGAGTGTTCATCAATGTGGCACAGCACTGTTCCTGGACCATTAATTGTTTTGTGTGGTGCTATGGCTTTTTAAAACCTTTTTTTTTTTAAATCGTAACCATGAAAATAACCTTAATAAACACACACTTAACCTGCTAATTATATTAAAGTAATGTTATACTCAAACAAGTGATACGGTTGTATTTAAAACCATTTGAAAAAAAGTATTCAAACTAAGTATTTTTATTATCAAATTAAAAGATCAAAACGGTAATTAGCTATTGTCTTCAAAGAATCACCAAGCATGATTTATTTCACGTATCAATTGGATCCGTTAGGATCTAAGAGGATCAAATAGGTATTGAATTGAGTGATTTATGATATTTGGGTTGAACAATTTTCTAGAATTTCTTTTTTAAGATTGCATAAGTTGAGTTAAAAAAAAAAAAAAACAATCCTTGATTAATATAAATAAGGTTGTTTAGTATGTGCCATGTATACAGAACTTTTCTTGTTACATACAATCATGGAGTGGAGTTTAATTTATTCTTGTTCACTTTTGGATTTAAGTTAATTAATTGTGTAGATTGAATTCAAGTTTATTTTATAAGTCATATTATATATATAAACAACATTGAAGAGAATTTTTGCCGGTCATAAAAAACTGAACAACATTAATTTATTTTTTTTGTTGTTGTTTTTCCTTGAAATATTAAAACTTATTAAAAATACTTTTAGTTCTTGATTGAATAAATGATCAAATTTTTTTAATATAATTTTAGTTTGCTAGTGAATATTATAATTTTTAATTATAGTTTTTGGCAACCCGCGTTTCTTTAAATTTTGAGTTTATTTTATTAAAATTTATTTTTTATATTTTCAAATTGTTTTGATTTATTGATATAAAAAATAATTTTAAAAAAAATTAAAAATATTATTTTAATATATTTTTAAACAAAAAAATATTTTAAACCGTAATTATTACTATAATTCCGAGCACACCTAAAAATTAACCTTACGAAATATTAAAAGTATAGAAATAATGCTAATTTCATGAAATAGTTTATCTTGAATTAACTTTTTTTAAAAAAATTTGTGCATTAAACAAGTGAATCTCACAAATCCAAATTTATTTTTCTTTTCTTTTCTTTTCTTTTTATTTAAAAAAGCCTTTCTCTCTGTTCCAAGACAATGTAAATGTTATCTAACTATATTTCACAAATTAAACTATTTAGACTTTAATTATTTAAGACATCAATAATGGCTCTCTCACAAAATATCAACAACCAAAGTTTTTTTTTTTTAAATACACTCAAATCTCAAGAAGAAATAATGATCCCTGAGTGTTAATTGATCTAGAAACACATTAATATAAATAACAATATCAAAACAAAAGGGAAAATTTAATAACAAAATACATTAAAATAAATTTTTTATTTTTTAAAAATAATTTTTGAAATTAGCATATCAAAACAATTTAAAACATATTAAAAACTAATTTTTAATAAAAAAATTAAATTTTTTTATGATTAACCCGCATTTCCAAACATTCCCTGCCTATCTTACCAAAAAAGAATTAAAACAATCAAAGATTAAACTATAAAAAGCTTAAACTACGAATTACCTTCAACAAATAATGATTTTAAAAAAAGTGATAGGAGAGGAGAGGAAGAAAGAGTACCAGAGCAGTTAAAAAGAGGCCATTGAAGACAGATTCCAGACAAATTGAGCTTTTGTATTGACGATCAAATTATTATTATTTTTTAACTTAAAAACACAGTAAATAAATTATAATCAAGAGAGAGTTTCTTAGAATTATAGATGGATCTTTCTTGTACTCTTCTATTTCATTTGCTTTCTCTCTCGCTGGGAAAATAGAAAGAAAAATAATAACTAGATATAAAATATTTAAGATGGAGAATTTATGTGTGGAGAAATAGAGAACGTCGCCCGCACTATGCTGGGGTAATTTTTTTTTTAATAAAAAACATCAAAAAAATTTAAATTAAAAAATGTTATTTATTTTTAAAGTTATATCTAAAAATTTTAAATATGGCTTAATATCTGACTCAAAAATAATATTTATAATATTAATAATAGTATTAAACTTGTATCATGCAAGTTTAAGTGAACTTATATATAATATTAAAATCTAGAGTCTTGAATGTTAGTTTAGCTGTAAGATTATATCATAAATATTAATTCTTAATCAAATTAATATTAAAATAAAAAAAATACATAAAAAAATAATTAAAATCAACTGATTTAACCCGTCAAATATAATATCTATGTCATAAGATGGTGATAGTTAAATAGAAAAAAATAATATTAATAAACTACATTAAACAGAAAAATTAATTAAAAGGAAAAATGCAAAAAAAAACTATAAATAATATTTTTTTTCAAATTTATTAATTATTACATTAGCAATATTCATTGAAATAAAAATAATAAAATTTATAATATAAATAATAATATTTTTAACATTAATAATAATATTAAACTCACATGACTTCATTTTGAATGGACCTGGTTGCAATGTCAAGCCCAATAGTTTTAAATTCGACTGCAACACCAAACCTAAGAGCCTTAAATATGGATCTAACAATAATATTATGTCATGAAAGCATGATAATCAGATATAAAAAAAAATTAAACAAAAAAAATTAATTAAAAAGTAGAAAACAAAGCAAAGCACTATTCCAATAAAAAGTATCTTGTGACGAGGGATACAATAAAATCCTCTCATGAGATTACGATAATCTAATAAAAAATAAATAAAATAAATCAGGAAATTTAATTCTTAATTAAATCAATATTAAAAGAAAAAATTAGAAAGAAAAAACTAATTAAAAAAAATATGAATCAACTGGTTTAATCCATCAAACTATGTTAATTTGTCAAACCTATAATCTGTATCATGAAAGTATGATAATTAAATGAAAAAAAAAATTAATGCTGACAAACTAAATTAAACAAAAAAAATTAACTAAAAAAAACACCAAAAAAAATCTATAACTAAAAGGCATCCGCTTTTATTATGGATTTGCACGGTGGAATTTACAGTGAAAGGTTAACATCTTTTAGTTATAATTATAATATTAAAAGATAATTAAAAAAAAAATAAAACAATTGGGTTAACCTGTTAAACCTGATATTCATGTTATAAAATTATGATAATGTAATAGAAAAAATTAATATTAATGAACTAGATTAAACAAAAAAATTAATTAAAAAATAAACTAGTAAAAAAATATGAATCAACTGGATTAACTTATCAAATTAGGTTAACTCATTAAATTTAAAATATGCACCATAAAATTTTAATAAAAAGATAAAAAATTAATATTAACAAACTAAATTAAATTAAAATAACTAATTTTTTTTAAAAAAAAAGCATCTACCTCTATTTTTGCTAACCAAGAGTTTACATATTATTTATCTATGCAATTAAATAATAAAAAATAGATCAATTACATGTATTAACCCTATAATTTTACTATTTAACCATTTTATCATTTCACATCATTTTTATAAATTTTACCACCATGTATTTATACAAGATAAATAAATAGATATAAATAAAGAATTAAAAAAAGAAATAAATTCTGGAAAAAAGTTTGAAAATAAAAAACAAATTAAATAAAAATAAATTAGAGTTTAAGCGAGAAGAATTTATTGTTATTAAAAATTTATTTTTTCATAAAAAATGATTTTTTAAAGATATTTTTAAGTTTTTTATATTTCTTCACTATTAAAAAATTTATCATCAGAAAATATTTTATAATAAGATAAATTATTTTAATTTTTAAAAATATTTTAATTTTATTTTATATATAAAATACTATTTAAAAATTATAAAAAATTTAAAAATATTTTATTATTTGTTAATTATATTTAATTTAATATTTAATTTTTTAATTAATATATATTTTATTCTATTTTTATTTTTTAAACATTTAATTTTTATATAAATTTTAATCCTTAATTTTTTTATCATCTATTTTTTTCTTATTATTTTCTTAACTTAAATTTTTTATCTACCTTATCTCTTTTATATTATTATTTTTTATTTTAAATAATTTATAAAATTATAATTCTATTATTTTTACTATTTTTCATTTTTTTGTCCATCGGGTTTCATCTTTATTATTTTAATTGTTGGTATCGGCGGCAGCAATGGATTTCAGTCCGCTCACAGACGCTTTAGCTTCCAAATCCCACGAAAAGATCGCTGATATCTTGATGAACTTATGCTCAAGGTTTTATTTCTTTATTTATTAAATATATATATATATATATATATATATATATTTTTGTTATTCTTCTGTAAATTAAGTTAAAATAAATAATTTCTGTTAATTAAATCGACCAGGCTACCGCAGAGCTGGAGGAGGCTCCATTCGAGGAAGAATGGCCTTTTGCTATCCATCTTCTCTCCCATATTTATGCCAACGATATGTATGCTTTTTTCTTTTTCTTTTTCTTTGAGTTTTGAATTCATTTAGTTAATTATTTTTAATTAGATTTGATCTGGTGTTAAAAATCAACAGTAACAGCGCAAGATTTCTGTGGAAATCAATACCGTCAACGGTGAAAGAGATGCAACCAGGAGTGGTTGCGGCATGGAGAATTGGTCAGGGGTTATGGACGTGTGACTATGCAGCTGTGCACGAGGCCATCCGTGCTTTTCACTGGTCTCAACAAACTCAATCGCTTGTTGCTGCTTTCTCAGGCAAGTTTTTTTTCCCCTCTTGAATTGTATGCTAATTTGAGCTAGCCAGCTAACATGTTTGTTATGGATTCATTTAGCTATATAGGGCATGATCGCTCCTCCATTAAGATGAAAGGCTTAGCTTTAGGTTTTTTAGATTATTTGTTTGCTTAGCCAAATTGGTATTTGAGTTTTAGGCTGCAGTATCTTGGAGAGGGATGCACTTTTCTTTAACGAGTAGAAAAATGATATGTTTGGATTCAGGGGAGTCAATAGAGCTTGGTGAATTTCATTGAAATATTCATATGCGCTAACAAATGCAAAAATATCAAACTTTAAGAGCACTGGTTATCCATACTCGTGGTGCTATTTAAAAAAAATGGATGCTTTGAAACAATGGTGTCTGCTATCATACACCCTTTTTAATGGAAATAACATGAACAAGCTATGGAACTGGTGCAATCTACAATTCAGAAAATATTCATCTTCTATAATTTCATTGTAAAAATGTGTCCTCAGATGTCCTGGATTTGTTCTGTTCAGAAGTCATCAGCCAATTTATTTGCTGCAGTCTTTGATTTTGATGTCATAACACGGTAAACAATTTTTGTTTCCACGGAGATTTACACCGAGAGGATGTGCTTTCTGCTTATTCAACAGTCGGCATCCAAGATACAGCTCTCTTTCTGGGAATGAATGAAGATGATGCTGCAAGTTGTAAGATTCTGATACTCCATTCTCACTTCTTCTTTTTTTCTGTTATGGGATGTCAATATTGATGAGTAGTGACTCTGTGCTTTGGCACTTTAAGTCATACAGGAGTGGGATTAGTGCTTAGTTTCAACAATTTAGCTTCTCCATGGTAAAAGAAGAGAGAAAATAGAAGAAATAGAATTACCACCAACAATAAAACCATGATAACAATACAAGAGAAAGTGAGAGGTGCTTTCAAAAGCATCGATGATTATTGGGCCAAACAGAAGCTGGCAAGCACTGATCAGTGTCTGACTAGAGATTACTAGGGGGAATTTCAAAGGATGTCCCAACCATCTTTAAAGCAAATGCTCAACCAAAGAAAACTTTTCTTCAGGAAGTTCAGTTAATGTTTGAAAAAGAAGAGATGAACTTCTCCAGATCTCCAATTGGGAGCCAATGGCTTTATGGTTTTCAGATTAGCACAAAATGACGGAACCCTGGATCTCTCGCAATGTCAAAAGGGCGAGTGCAGCAGAAAAATGGTTTTGTTTTTTGAATTTCAAAATGAGAGAACTGGAAACACCATGCTAACTTTCTAACTTAATTGGAAGGCGTGGGTATATTCGTGATTCAAGGTCCTGTTGGTCAAATCTTGATATTGAGATTGATTTTGAGTCTCTGAGTGGGCGGGCCTGCGGAATATGATGGTAGGTTCTACAGAGATCATGACCTTTCCCTATGGTGAAGGTTTAAATTTTTTATCACGTTATTTCAAGCAAAGCTTCTGTCCTAAATAGGTTAGTAATCAGTTGATTCTCTTGCAGTTACAACATGAATAGAACTTGATTGTTGTGAACATGATAAGAGCTTAGGATAGTTAAGACATTTTGTCTTTTACCTATTGCTTTCTGGCATAACAAACTCGGACATGGTCTAAACTCTTTCTGTCCATGTGTGTAATGCATGCGTGGGCACTGTATGTTAGATTGCTGCATGCATTTGTCTAATGCATCCATGCTATGCTGTCAACAGGATTTTTGTTATCGTATGCAGATGTAATGCAGCAGGGTTGGGTTGTCGATCCTGCTTCTCGAATGCTTATTGTGAAAAAGCAGCCTGTTGCAACAGAGCAGAAACTGGATCCTAGTAAACTACAGCGCTTGACAGAATATGTGTTCCACTTAGAGCATTAATAGAACTCTAAAACACTACCAACTTCTACTGAAAGTCTTCATATTCTGATCACTGGTTGTGATGAGTAAAATCTTTTGAAGATGTATAGTGCTTCAATGTGCAGCAAGGAAGCTGAAAGAATTGGTTTGCCTTCTAATTGAGGGTCTTCCTTTGGTTGTTTTTGCTTGGAGTTGTAAACACTTCTATAGTTGAAACGCCATTGATACAGAGTGAAAAAATTACGAGATGAGCAAGAGGGGTCGTGAACCCCCCCCCCCCCCGCCCCCGTGTGCGTGAAATTGCCCTTGCAAGTTCTTACATGTTTAACTGCTGCTATATCTACCAGTGCCAATTGTTTCTCTTCCACCCGTGAGAATAGATGTCAGGATCGGGAGCTGATTCGGGAAAGGGCTTGGGTCGTTGGGTTATTTTTTTTTATTAAAATGATGTTATTTTTAAAAAAAATAAATTATGTTGACATGGTGGGGCTATTAAAATGATGTTATTTTTTTAAAAAATAAATTATGTTGACATGGTGGGGCTAAATTTTGTTTGAAAATAAAATTTAAAGAGAAACTTGATCGGCTTTAGTTGGTTGACTAGGAAAATTCCAGTTCCTCGAGCATGGTTTGAACCAGGTTTTTTAGTTTAAATAGATAGGATATTAATTTGGTAAAATTTAATTGATCTAGTTAAATTTCTTTAATGACCCGTTTAAACTCAAATCAAAACACACAAATGTTTTTAAATTTTAAAAATAAAGAATAAAATGACATTTTAAATCAAGAGCTCGTGCTACATTATGGGTTTATGTTTTTTTTCTATAAAAAAAATAATGTTTAAATAATTTAAATGCATTTCAAATTGACATTTCAAGTTATAATACAGCCTGAAATTAATAAGTTTATTTTATTTTAATCAAGTAATAAAAAAATAGAAAAAAAAATAATGATATTAATTGAACAATTAAAAAAAATCACAGACCTTGAAGAAAAAGTCTACGGGAGCACAAAATTGGATAGAAAAGAAGCAAACATTTTGGACGAAGTCAACAAACATAGAAGAAAGTGAGGGAACAAAATTGACAAGGATCTAAAATAAAAAATAATGAGGGTAAAAATTAAAATTAAAATAAATTAAAGGGTAACTAAAATTTTTGATTGAAAAGTTCAACTAAAAAGAAAAATAACTCAATCAAAATGAAGGAAAATAAAAGGATGATGACAAAAAAAAAGTATCACACCGTAAACTTTTTTAAAAATGTAAAGGAAAAAAATAAAAAAATAAGGACAGATAAAAAAATATATGAAAATTAAAACTAAAAGAATAAACTGAAAAGAAACAACACTTAGACAAAAAACCAAATGACAAGTAAAAGAAACCCAAATATAAAGGAGACAAATTTTTGTTTGGAGGGTTAAATTGAAAAGAAAAATAACTCTAACAAAAAAACAAAAAAAATTAATGACCAAATTAAAAAAATAATACAAAATAAACTTTGAGTGAAGGGTAAAATAAAAAAAAATCTATAAAAAGGCCAAGTAAAAATATTAAAAAAATAAGGATCATATTAAAAAACATGATACTATACAAGTTGGAATTGAAAACTAGATTGAAAGGAAATAAATTTTGTATTGAAGAGACAAGGATAAAAATAAAAAATTAAAAGAAGAAGTAAGAAATAATAAATATAAAAAAGAGAGACTAATATGCGATTTTTGAGGGAGGATAAAGAAAATAAGAGAAGAAGAAAGAATACACTAGTTACAAACTATCTAATCTTTAATAACATGCATTGTACCAGGAGAAAGATAATGTAACTACTTGTAAAAGGATAATGACAAATAGAAAATTTTAACTATTAAAAAGCACTGCTTGAAAGGTGTTAGCACCTTCCACATGTCGGCATATACAATGCACGCTTTAAAAGTTTTTAAAATTTAATGTTATTTTATTATGATAAAATACAATAATTGAACCAAAGAATACAAAAATAATTTTACCATAGCCCAAAACATTATATATAAAGCTAAAATCCATTAGCCTTTAAGATTACCATGCATTATCTCACAGTTCACTATGGAGTAATGCATTTTTTTTAAAAAATCATTTTAGTTTTTGAACTTTTATTTTATATGATTTGGTCATTTGGAGTCTAAATTAGCCCTCAATTGCATATTTTTTTAGGAGGGGTGATTGATTTTAAAGCTAATGGGTTGAAGTGAAAATCTCAAGTAACATGAGGGGTGAGTTGAAAGTTTCGTTGAAATATTCATTTTAATCCCCCATATTTTTAAGGTATAAGGCGACAAGTCCTTGAATTTCAAAACAATATATTTTCACACTTAACTTCATTTTATTCTTTTTTCTATTAGGAGGATAGAGAATTAGTCGTTGGATTCCAATTTAGAAAGAGAAAGTAATCGTTAAGGAAGATTCCAACCATCAAAATTATTGATTTTTGTGTAAAAAAGTTTCATATGATGAGAGAGGTTACGTTCAGGTGTTTATTTTACATTGAAAACATCTAAAACAATATATCTGAGCTTTATAATATTTTTTTTTCTAGGTGGATTCTATGTAGTTTTTTTTGGCTTTTTGGTAGCCATGGATTGGTCTAACAAGGTTTTTGAGGTGTTTTCTAGGTGTTTTTGGTCAAAATGGATGAACAATAAGATTTCTAGGTGAAAAAATGATGAATCCTATTTTTCCGGCTACCACAATGACCAGATTATAGGTTGAAGTGGGCGACACGTCATTTTTTCTAAAATATTTAGGGTGAATGACATGTTGCTAGCCTCGTCAAACTTAAAAAAAAAACGTCCGCTTGAACGTGGCATTGCAAACCTGAGAGTTGGCCATTACTTCATTGGACTAGGTGTTGAGCCTGACTTATTAGGCCCATGAGTGCATGGCTTGGTTCATATATATATTAGATTTAAAAAAAAAATAATGCATTATTTATGTATATTTTTTCAAATAATTTTTTGATCTATATTTTAATTAGATTGTGATTTTTTTTAAAATGATATTAAGTGTGTCTAGATTTTAAATAGGTGAGTATATTTCATCTGTTGTTTTTTCTTCATTTTATATAGATTTTTTTAATATAGATATTTTATAATATTTTTTATATGTGCAGCCCTGAATTATTATTTTTTAATTGTTGTTCAATAATTTTTATATGTTATATGCATTCTTGCATTGTTTATATATATATATATATATATATATATATTGTTCAGTAAATTTTATATATGTCGGTTTCTATTACAAATTTTATGTGTTTTTCTATTACAAATTTATTTTGATAATAGATTTATTAAATATGACCAGATAAATTACCTGTGTTGCAACGTGAGATAGCTTATCTTTATTTTTTTCTTGGTTTTTTCAATTTTATTTTTGTTTATTGTGGATGAGTTTTTTCTTCATTACTTTACACAATGGTTATTGAGTTATTGAATAAAATATGTGCATAAATTTTTCAATCTACATTTAAGAGTTATATATATATATAAAAGAAACTATTTAGCCAATGCTTGTTTAATAGAGTTTAAAGGCTTTAAATGCTTTTAAGTTTTTTTTTTGGGGAAAAATTTACATTTTAAAACTAGTGTTTGAAATATATACCCTATTCATCTTACACATTGGATCCACATATATAAATGAATACATAAAATATTTTTATAGATACTTAACTAAGTTATTATCGTCTATATAATAATAAGGAGTTAACAAATATTTATTACTCTTTACTTACTTATAATTATTTAAACTTAACTAAGTTATACTTAACTATTTTTTGGTTAAACCCGGTCAAGTACTTGGTTATAAATAAATTTTAGTTAGTTCAAATTAATTTATTTTTTATATTTAAAAAAATAAAATAACATCATTTAAAAAAATAAATCAAAGAATTTTTATTAGGTTTTTCTCCTGAATTTTTTATAGCTAAATAAATCACAAATCAACCTAAATTTTTTTTTTATCAAATAACACATCACACAAGATTAGTTCTCCTGCTATTTCTTGTTTCTTTCAAAATTCATGTAACTTGAGTCACATTAACCAATTAAACATTAAGTAAAATTCGTATGCTTGTTTTCATGGTTTAAATTGTAAATGTTATTTATTTTAAAAAATATTAGTAATTGTGACATGGTTTATGATAACTTAATATTTTTTTAAAATTATTTTAAATAAATTTATTTTATTAAAATAAAAAAAATATATTTTAATTTATTTTCAATTAAAATACATGTCTAAAAATTATCATAAAACACGTGTCAGTTTCTATTGCAAATTTTATGTGTTTTTTTATTATAAATTTGTTTTAATAGACAAATCTATTAAATATGACCAGATAAATTACCCATATTATGATGTGAGATATTTTAATATTTATTTTTTGATTAGTTTTTCTCAATTTTATTTTTATTTACGGTGAATGAGTTTTTTTTATTAGGTTACATGAGATATTTTGATATTTATTTTTTGATTAGTTTTTTTTAATTTTAATTTTATTTACTGTAAATGAGTTTTTTTTATTAGGTTATTTAATTAGATGTGTGCATCACTTTTTTCCATTTACATCCAAGTGTTTATATATATATATATATAGTGGAAGAAACTATTTTGTTAACACTTGTCTTGAAAAGTTTAAAGGCTTTCTATCTTTTTAAGTTTTTTTTTTCTGAGGTGAAAAATTATCTTATAAGATGAGGGTTTGAAATATATATTATATTCATTTTATTTTATATATTGAATCTAAATATATAAATGAATATATAAAATGTTTTAGAGACACTTAATTAAGTTATCCTTGTTTGTATAATCATAAAAAGTTAACAAATATTTGTTACTCTTTACTCGCTTATAATTATTTGAACTTTGCTTCTTATTTAAAGGTTGAGTTTTCATAGTTTTTTTTGTTCATCATGCAACATTTTTACTTTGAGTTGTTCAAATAATGATTATGTTAAATTAATGTTTTTTTATATTTTACAATTTAATTTTTATTTAAAATTTTAAAAAAGTTATTTTTTTTATATGTTACTTATCCGTTACTGAAAAAATAAATCATATATCTTTTATATATGTTACTTATCCGTTACTTACTGAAAAAATAAATCATATATCTTTTAATATTATAAGCTTTTAATTACATGTTTAAAATACATGTTTTTTCTTTCGATTATCTAACAATTAAAAACAAAGTGTGGTTTCAAAAATAGTCCGCAACGCTTGACAAGCTATCTAATA